TGAAGCCCCTTAGCAAGCTTGTAATTATAGGTTCTTGTTGCTGACAGGATTGGACGGACCGCTAGTTTCTTCTTGTGGGTCTTTGGCAAACCATAAAGGTGTGCGAGCCTAGAACCCTTTTGGATCAGTGAGTCGGCTATGGGTTTCGGAAGAGTTCTTTGCACGATGGAGGACAGATCCTTCTCCTTTTTGAGTAGTGGGTGGTAATGCTTCAGAGGTCTTCCCTTTGCTTTTGGTCTTTCGAGACTGATGGGTATAAATTTAGTTTCATCACTAATAGATGATTCCCTCAGTAGGCTGACATATTCTGTTTTGTCCAAGATCACGACTCTCGAGCCTTGATCTGGTCGCGTAATTACAATATCGTCTCTCTTCATTAGCTGACCTATCGCTCTTAACATTGGTTTTGGTGGTGTCGGGCCTTTCCTCTTGATGTAGCTAAGGCCAATAGAACGTAGCGTTGCAACGCTACGTTCTATTGCCCTTAACTACCTCAAACTAAATTTATACCCATCAGTCTCGAAAGACCAAAACCAAAGGGAAGACCTCCGATTTTCAGGCATATTTTCTGTAGACGAGCTTCCCGAATGGCTTCACGTTTTTGGGTTTGGACTTTATGTGACGCTTCTTGTTCTCGCTTTCGTTGTCGACACAGCCATATTGTTTGTATTCTATCGAGTAAAGGAACTGCGAAATGTGACTAACAATCTGCTTTGCAACATGGTGACAGCGGACTTACTTTTCGATTGCAGCGTGTATTTTGGCTCAGCCACAGGTCTTCTTCAGCTCAACTACCATGTCGAAAGATAGACTAGTTTGTACCGAGGAGCGCCCAGATGACTACTTACTAGTTTTCCTTTGTTATCATGTGCCAGTCTTTATTTTGCTTTATTTTATACCTCTTGTAATTCTGTCCTTTACGTTCGCAAGAGTTTCGAGAAAACTCCGCACCGTTGTGCAACGATTTCGATCACGGTCACGATTTGATATCTGTGGCACCGTGAAAATGCGAAGGAGCACCATAAGAATGCATTTAGTTGTATTTATAGTGTTGGTGGTGTGTCTAACGCCCCTGAAAGTCATTGAGTTGTTGCATGTGACACCTATAATGGACCAGTTCGACCCATTCGGGACGCTCGTTGTTACTGTGGAGATACTAGCCTTTTCGCATGCGCTGTTTAATCCCTTAGTGTGTTCGTTTAAGAGCAAAGAATTCAGGAAGGCTGCAAAGAAGGCTTTTCGCATTTCCCGGAGTCTAAAGGGCGATTACTGCATGCGCATCCGCAAGAGAGAGGACACTGAATGCAAGCTGAAACAAGTGAAGCAAAGCGAAGCCATTGGTGCGGACAACGAAAAGAGAGCGTGGACGGACCATCAAAATCCCAGCGAGCCTGGAGATGTTTGGAAGGAAAAAGGCACTCGTAACGATGGATTTTCGTTTGCTTTAAATACTCTAGCGCGAACAGAAAGCTCTTTGACTGAAAGAGTAAATTAAGCCACGCATATTTAAATGAGCTACATCATGGTTTGCTCGTCTTGAAAAGTTTGGCCTAAAATTTTCAGGTTCATCGTTTGTAATCCGAGTTAATCTTCTCATTTCTTGTTCCTTTATGGTTTATTATCATCTCTTTGGAGTTTTTCTATCTTAGTTAACTGCTATTTTCAAGTAGCAATCAATTTAAAGATAAACTAGGTTAAACTAGATAAGTTGTTAACGTAAGTGTCTAACTTCATTTCATTATTTCCGCCTTCAACTTTACACAGAATCTGTAGAGAAGTAGAAAAAGAGCCTAAAATAAAATAAGATAAGATGAAAGAAAACAAATAATAATAAAAATAGAAATAATAATAATAATAATAATAATAATAATAAAACTGGTTAAAGTGAGTTTCATTTAGCTTTTAGTTGAATTTCAAGACCCTTTTTGGTGCTCGAGAAATTCTCCTAACAAAAATGGCTCGAGTTATCAACATAAGAGGAAACAGCTGACAAGCTGTTCTTGAATCACGCAGACTTCAATACCCGGATTCACATGAGTTTCATCAGGATACAAATTATGGCAGAACTATCGCACTGATTGGTTGAGGAGTCTTAGGGTGCTTTCCATGGTGCCAAAAATTCCGGAAATTTCGGTAGAACGTCAAATGGAAAGGTCCGTTTCGGTTCGGTCTGACCGATCGGACCGCAATTGGCCGTTCCATTTTGACAAATCGGTTCGCCCTACTTCTATTCCGTAGATTTTCACTTTGGTGATCGAATAGAAAATGGTCAGAGCCGTTCCTTTCAGTTGTCCAGATTTGACCGAAAAATGTTCCTCCATTTTCCTGGGTTAATCCACTGGTCTCTAACTGGTTGGTCTGGCATAATGAAAAGCACCCGTAGTTTTCCTGTTGTCTCAACTTATAGACGCCCCAATAAGAAACTATTTACACCATTCATTTAACTCTTGTAGCAGTCTCTTTAAAAGGGTTTTTTTTCGGGGGGGGGGGAGGGGAGGGGAGGCGGGAACGTCTTGCTTCAAAACAGAAAATAAGCCAAGCGAGCTGGACCCCGGATACAGTGGTCCTGTCGCGTACGCTTTTACGTTTTTGTGGACAAGCTTTGTCGAAACAGCTCTACATCTCTTTTCTTAAAGTGGCGTGGCATTGCAAAATGAGTCTCATGTGTAGTAAGGAAGCGCAGAAACACTAGGCTCGAACGCCCTGAAACTCGTTCCAGCTCGATGCAATATCATGATGTTGTTGTAACTTGTAAAACGTTGATAATACTTGCATTTTCAACTTGCAATGCAAACATGGTCGCACGAAGAGTTGTATTGGGAAATTACTGGCTTTAAGATCAATCTGGCAAAAATCAAACTTCCGAAATTTTGCAGTGTCATTATCGTGTCGATAATTTACGGAAAATTAGTTCTATACCGCTAAAAATAGATCGAAAGAAATGGTTGAGTTTCTCTTTGTCTTTTGAGCTTGACCAGGAAAAGAGAAACCTAACTTGTACTCACCACCAAGGAGCAAAGGAGTGTGAAGTGGAAGGGGCAAAACTCAAGATGGCGGGAGGGGGGGTACAATGTACCTTCGACGATCTAGCGTGCTATCCACACGACTAAAAATCCCCTATTCGCGTCAAATAGTCCATAATCGAGACCAATCAGCCAAAGTGACAAAGAAAAAGACGTTTAAATTTTTACGATTCCTTCTATTTTCTATTATTAGTTAATTTAAGACAGATTTAATTCCATGATATCAAGTCCAGTTAAAACATTCCTTAGGTCCTTGGTTCTTGTGTCAGTTTTCCGGGTTTCAGTTAACGATTGTAGCCTGTCATCTCTTTCATTCCTTCGTCTTCCAAATCATCACATCGAATCTGCCTTGCTGCTCGGCGCACTTCTAGTTGGACCTTCTGAAACTAAAATGATAATGTAATCCAAATGAAAAGTGTTGGTGAAACTAGTGGTTTGATTGTTATTTATAACGATTCAAATGAAACATTTTAAGGAGTACCTCCAAGACTTATTGCATGAACCTTTGGTTATTACTTAGAGTATTCTTGTACAGAAAGTTCGCTAAAAAAAAAGCCAGACTGGTGACTGTAGTTAAAAACCAAAATACAAGCGTACCTCTCTCTTTCTTCCAATGGGTGGTTGCCCAATGGACGATATACTGCCTTCTGTACAGGCGAGAATTGAGCCAGCTACAAGCACGNCAAAGTGACAAAGAAAAAGACGTTTAAATTTTTACGATTCCTTTTATTTTCTAATATTAGTTAATTTAAGCCAGATTTAATCCCATGATATCAAGTCCAGTTAAAACGTTCCTTAAGTCCTTGGTTCTTGTGTCAGTTTTCCGGGTTTCAGTTAACGATTGTAGCCTGTAGTCATCTCTTTCATTCCTTCGTTTTCTAAATCATCACATTGAATCTGCCTTGCTGCTCGGCACACATCTCGTTGGACCTTCTGAAACTAAAATGATAATATAATCCAAATGGAAAGTGTTGGTGAAACTAGTGGTTTGATTGTTACAACGATTCAAATGAAACATTTTAAGGAGTAACTCCAAGACTTATTGCATGAACCTTTGCTTATTACTTAAAGTATTCTTGTACAGAAAGCTCACTAAAAAACAAGTCAAACTGGTGACTGTAGTTAAAAACCAAAACTCAAGCGTACCTCTCTCTTTCCTCCAATGGGTGGTTGCCCAATGGACGATATACTGCCTTCTGTACAGGCGAGAATTGAGCCAGCTACAAGCACGAAGAGAATAAGTAGTTTAGCCTTCATAGCTCCTCTTTTCTTCTATCGACGAATAAGATAATATTTTTTCTTCTTGCAAGCTTTTTTTATAGTATCTTTGCCGCCGTTTTAACCAATGAAATACAAGTCTGCCGAGCTATCAATAGTAAAATTGTGGTGAACGTGGCTTTTCCTTTCGTCATAGCCATAATATTAACCTAGATCAACTTGTGTAAGAGGAAGCTATTTTGGATAGAAAGGTTAATGGGACCTGTTATCTTTTTTTCCATGATTCTGTGTTAATACCCATAAAGGAAGTTTCCATAAATACATGGAATTGTTAATTGTAAACTGTGATTGTGTTTCAATTTACCGCGTGGCTACAGCCAGCATCTGGACTCTGAAGTTCACTTTAAGGTAGATAAACCACACTGGCTTAATTATTGTAAATGGTTATTTAATAGACGGATCTTATAATNAAGACGTTTAAATTTTTACGATTCCTTTTATTTTCTAATATTAGTTAATTTAAGACAGATTTAATCCCATCATATCAAGTCCAGTTAAAACGTTCCTTAGGTCCTTAGTTTTCCGGGTTTCAGTTAACGATTGTAGACTGTAGTCATCTCTTTCATTCCTTCGTTTTCTAAATCATCACATTGAATCTGCCTTGCTGCTCGGCACACATCTCGTTGGACCTTCTGAAACTAAAATGATAATATAATCCAAATGGAAAGTGTTAGTGAAACTAGTGGTTTGATTGTTATAACGATTCAAATGAAACATTTTGAGGAGTAACTCCAAGGCTTATTGCATGGACCTTTGGTTATTACTTAAAGTATTCTTGTACAGAAAGCTCGCTAAAAAAAAGCCAAACTGGTGACTGTAGTTAAAAACCAAAACACAAGCGTACCTCTCTCTTTCTTCCAACGGGCGCTTGCCCAACGGGCCCTCTCCTGCCTTCCGTGCAGGCGACAATTGAGCCAGCTACAAGCACGAAGAGAATAAGTAGTTTAGCCTTCATAGTTCCTCTTTTCTTCTATCGACGAATAAGATAATATTTTTCCTTCTTGCAAGCTTTTTTATGGTATCTTTGCCGTCGTTTTAACCAATGAAATACAATTCTGCCGAGCTATTAATAGTAAAATTGTGGTGATATTAACCTAGATCAACTTATGTAAGAGTAAGCTATTTGGAATAGAAAGGTTAATGGGACCTGTTATCTTTTTTTCCTTGATTCTATATTAATACCCATAAAGGAAGTAGAGTTTCCATAAATACATGGAATTGTTAATTGTAAACTGTGACTGTGTTTCAATTTACCGCGTGGCTACAGCCGGCATCTGGACTTTGAAGTTCAATTTATGGAAGATAAAAACCACACTGGCTTAATTATTGTAAATGGTTATTTAATAGACGGATCTTATAATTTAAGTTCAACGAAGTTTCAGACCATATTTTTCAATTCACTTGCACTTTGTTGTCAATGCCGGAATCCTTTATTCTGTAAATGACAGAATCTTGCATTAACGTTTGTTTCGCTCAGGATTTGACCTGGCAAGAGATAGCTTTTCAGTTATAGATATATGGAAATAGGAGTACATTAAAAGTTAAGATTTCTTGAGTAAACCCAGAGCTCGAGAGGAAGATGACCTAAAGATGAGTTTATCGATCGTATCAAGTTTTGGCTGGTTAAATTTCTGTCTTCAAAATAACTTTTTGGAGTAAATAAAATCCTGCTCAAATATCAAATCCAAAAATAGAACTTTAAATTCAAGTTACGTGAGCAACCTACTATGAAGAGAAAATCTAAAGGGAAACAAAATTTTGGTATTGTAAGCTTACTAACATTACAAACTCAGCTAAGTATGTAATGCAGTAGTATGTAGTATGTAGTCTAAATTTGCGCCTTTATTCCAAAAATGTGAACGAAGACATTGATATTGCCAAAAGGAAGGTAGACTGTTCACAGCCCCCTTTTTTCCCGTGGGATCGTAGATGTCGGTCGTTGAGCTTGACGGGCCGCGATCTTGGTCTCTTGATGCGAGCGAAACTAGACAGAGTACAAAATGCCCGTGGGTAGGGGTGGGGGAGGGCACGGCTGGCGGAAAAAATAGGGAGACTGTAACAGCTTCCCTCTGTCTGGTATTCGCTGCGTTAGTTGCTTCAGCAACGGCAACACCTGATTGGTGAAAGGGACAACAGAGTTCATCAGAGCGAGCAGAGCGTTGACAACTTGAGTGACAGAAAGTGACATTCATCACTTCGCGACTCAGGCCGAAACGGCATCGATTTCAAGAGAATTTTCTGGAGAATGTTTTGATTTTGATCGTCTGTCTGCTTCTTGTCTTGGAGGATTGGTGTTAAAGCACGAGCAAAAGGA